GTATTATAGATTATGTTCTAAATTTAGCACTAGGCTTTACCCTCTTGTATCAAAAGCCAAGTCAAGATGTATTTATCACTACATGGGATAGTTGTACTGACGGCCAATATCGTATCTATGTGAATCTATTTTGTGGATTTCTGCAGGCGATCAGCCCAACAGAAGAGGGCGCTTTCAGGGAATTTGATTATAGACATGAGTCAATCCTCTATTCGAGTTTTTTTTTTATCTTCATCGACACCTTTCTCTCCGTGGCTCAGTGGTAAACTAGACGACCTTAAATTCGATGTTCGATCCCTACAGTGAGCACGGTGCAGATAGCCCATTCTATAGTTTTTGCATTAAAACAAAATAAAAAAACAAATATAGTCTATTTATTTATCTTTCAACCTTCTGTTTAGTCCTTCATTCGATCATTAAAAAAATCTCGCCATCTTTTCAAATTTTGTTGTTGTATAACAATGGCGCTAGCTTATAATCCACAAACAAGAAACGTGGCACCAAGTTTTTCTTCTTCAAATAGCTTGTACATAAAGTAAAACACTTGGAAGAATACTCTAAAAACAATAAACAGTAGTGCAAGAAAAGTTCTTCCTTCGTAAGCCTCACAACACTTAGTCTCAAATTATATTATTAGCAGGCGAGACTACTCAACACGGTCGTAATAGTACCCGCATGCCAAATTGGTAATAACATCAGGAAACAAAGTAACTAGGAAGATTGTAATTGTAAGGGCAGTTTTATGGACTCATATGGAAAGCACCAAAATCTATACAATAAGAAACTCAGGAAAGAGACGAAAGAAAAAAAATACAGTGCGCACGAAGCAGACATGGCTGCGACCAACCAGCAAAAGCAGCACGTGCTAAGAAAAATGAAAAGTAAATATCACAAAATGAAGTGGAAAGGATTGAATTTCACAAGTATTACTGAAAAAACAAAAACACTCTCGTTAATAATGTCTGCTTGACTTGACATTTCCTGTTAATAGAGTTTTCTAATATAGTCACCACATCAAACCCAGTCCCACCCAAAGAAATGATCTAAATTAAATATAAGATTCACTGTTTATTCACTTATGATAAGTTCGCATGAAAATTTTTACCGCTTAACGATCATTGAGTGCAGTTTTCACTTAGCACATAGTTCAAACCGGTTTCTCTACTGAAACCGGTTTGCTCACTGAGATCCAACATGAAATTTGGTCAACTGTTCTCAGGAGGGTTACGTTGAGCAATTAAGCAGTTTTTTTTATCCTCGAGATAAAGAGCAAGTGAACATTGCTCAGTAAAATAACATGCCTATTATGTTATTAACATTCTCACTAAAAAAAAAAGAAATAGTAAAATATAGAAGATTTTAATAACCGATGTTGTAGAATAGCACAACTTGGATAAAACTAATATATATTCCTCGATAACGTGGTCCTGGTGTGACCTAGTCGCTAGAATGTCGGGCTGTCCAGTGGTCCTGGTGTGACCTAGTGGCTAGCATGTCGGGCTGTCCAGTGGTCCTGGTGTGACCTAGTGGCTAGCATGTCGGGCTGTCCAGTGGTCCTGGTGTGACCTAGTGGCTAGCATGTCGGCTGTCCAGTGGCCCTGGTGTGACCTAGTGGCTAGCATGTCGGGCTGTCCAGTGGTCCTGGTGTGACCTAGTGGCTAGCATGTCGGGCTGTCCAGTGGTCCTGGTGTGACCTAGTGGCTAGCATGTCGGGCTGTCCATTTTCTGCAAAAATCCCACTCCGCACTTAGGGATCGTGAGTGAGTTATAAGAATGACTGTGAAATACTACTATTCGGTTACAGTAGTCCAAGAGTTGGCGGTGGGCGCTGTTGACAGTTAACGCTTTGTGTAGGGTTGCGCGAATATCCGAAACAATCAATCATACATCATTCAAACATTATCAATAACACAAAGACAGTTGATGTCTTGAACGATTCTATATCAATACGAATTGAATTATTTATTTTGTACAAAAAACTTGTTATTATTTTTATGTAAGAAAGCATAAAACTATAACACTATAACTTAGACTGAATAGGCAATTGATTTGATTCTCACCTAATACCGTATTGAACCTTCCTTGTAGCTCAGCGGTAAAGCTACGGGCTTACAGAGCTAAAATCGGTTTCAATATCCATTGTAGGCAGAGCACAGAGAGCCCATTGTAGCGCTTTGCGCTTAAGAACAAACAAAAGAACAATAATATCACGTTCAGTCGTTTCTCGTAGTGAAAATAGCCAGTCCCCCGGTGGGACAGCGGTAAGTTTACGCAAATACAACGCTAAAATCCGGGTTTTGACCCTCCCCTCGGTGAACACATCAGACAGCTTAATGTGATTTTGCTCTAAAACAAAGAAAGCAAATATAGAAAATAGCCAGAACTTGATCTGGTGTAAACTTTAGAAAGTGTCGGAAGGTGCTTTGTGAATCTATAGACCAATCGTTGAGGAGTATGCATGGTTTGCGTTTGGTCTAGAGATGTCGACAAAGGATTACGGCGTATAAAAGCGCTGTTCCAGTTCACCCCAATGATTAGGAAATGAAGTGAGATCTGGCACTGGTCAAGAAAGACGACTGTTATTACTGTAATGCTTTTCAAACCAATTCAGGACCATACATATGATCGTAATATATTATTGTAGGTAGGTCCTTATCTATCAGAGCGGAATTGTAACACTGTTAGGTGGACACGATCGACAACAGAAGTCAAGTATATTTTGGGTGTTATTAGCCTTCCTCTTAAATCATACTAAATGAATATTCACTATCATACTACTTTCAAAGATGAAAAGATTCTATTGTGTAGGCTTAGCGTGATATGGCTACATCGTCATACTAACAGAACTCAAGCCATCGCAAGTCACATCACATCTAGAAATGTGTGTGTGTTTGGGGAGGTGGGGGGATAATAAAAAGGCCTGTCATTGTAAATTGGATTTGCTATCGATGCCTGGCTTTATAACTTTATTACGAAATAACTCAAGCTAAAGCTTAAAAAAGAAAAAAATCCAGCTATAGCTAAGAAACAAATTAAAGTGATAAACTCAAAAACAAAATTGAGCATTGTATAAGCTATATTGAATTTAAGGCTAAGCCTGTTAGTCGAACTACGAAACCAATTAGTTGAATTACTAAACCACTTAGTTGAATTACTGAACACATTGATTGAATTACTACACAAATTACTTGAATTACTAATCCCATTAGTTGAATTATTAAACTCATTAGTTGAATTACTTGAGCTGATTTGCCTGGCGTGGGTTGGTGGTTAGGGCGCCTCATCGCATCGTACATGCTCGCCCTTTCAGTTGTGAGGGGTGTTATAATGTGATGGTGAATCCCACTATTCGTCGGTAAAAGAGTAGCCCAAGAGTTAGCTGTGGTGAATAGCTGCTTTCTCTTATGTCTATCACTGCTACGTGAGGGACGACTAGCGCAGATAGCCCTCTTGTAGCTTTGCGCGAAATTCAAACAAAGTGAGCCCATTAGTTGCATTACTTCTGTAATATAGTTTTCTCCCTTATTTTCAGTATATTTACTTTAGACTCTTTGCATGTCTTTTATTACGTCCTAGAAAAGCGCTATAGTAGAGAATTAAATCAAGAAAGTAAGCGATACTTATCAAAACGTTTCCTTTACATAGATAAGTTACAACAGAGTTTTTTTTATGTGTTTATCCCAACAAATAGGAACACTACTTTCTTTTGATATATTTATTGTTTATTTTTTTTTTTAGCTATAGAGATAGAACAATGCCCATAACTAAGAAATCATAACGACAATACTAGCTCCTGTCAATTAGTTAATTTTTCTTTCTGGTTTGTCTACTTAATAATAGACACGATAAGTCGTAAAGTTATGCTTGATGTAAGGTGTTTTTGTTTTTTTAAGTAAAGAATGTCAGCACACATTATTCTACTGGTTGAAATAAAGATATATTAATTAACGTATTGGGAGAAACTTATGACTGCCACAGATGTTATATTCATAAAGAGCCTGCATCAAGAAATCGCAACACTGACTTAGCAAACCAAATAAAATCTACTTACATTATGCCTACTTTTTATTTGTTAATATCGTATTCGGTTTTTACGGTATAACTATCCCGAGATATTTTCTTAGTGCTTAGTTATATTTAGACTGTTTGTTACTTTTTTATACGGTGTTGGGTTTTTCATTTGAAATCCTTTCTCAGAATCAACATACGTTAAGCCCGCTTTTCATACTTGATCATGGTATTGCACTATTGGGTTTCTTTCGTATATCTACAAGTACAATCTTCAATATTCTTAATTTCACAAACTTTGGACTTTTTTTTAATTACGCTGTTGGATTTTTTACAGTATGTCAACATGAAAACGTTTATTACAATATTGTTATAAGCTATATTTTTAATGTTCTAATTTAGATATTTGCTAGAGGGAGCTAATGATGGTGTGTGTAATCACCTAGAAATTTCATCCACTATGTAGAGATGAGGGTACATTTAATTCATTATAAATACTATAATTAGTGAGTATTCAACGAATGAGTTCAGTTCAGCGCTAGTTAATGAGTTATTCAGTTAGCAAGCTATGCAATGAGAATTATTGTATCTATTAGTCTGCGATTTAATTAACAGTGAGTTAGTTAGTGCGTTTACCTGAGTAATTATACAAGTAAATTTATAAGTAAGTTAGGCCTACAAGTTAATATAGCTTGTAGCAAACGTTATTGAAGAAATAAATTAATTCGTTGTCGTTTTGTGGGCTGTATATAGATTATCTCTATCAAATAATCCACATGAACCCGTATAATATAACGCGTTATACAATATTTACAAAACTATTAAGATCGTTTAGCAAAGTAACGATTCAATAAGATTTGAATTATTCATCAGAAAATTATGCATCAAATATTTTACGTGATGGAAAACTGAAACAGTGAAGATATCTTCAATGATTGGGTAACTTAGAAAAATAATGATAAATTAATTTTCTTCTAGGAAATTGGAAAATGTTTCTTACACGGTTGTATAACAAGCAGTGGAAATATACTGTTTGACCTAATGGCAATATACAAGGAGATTATGATCAATAATTCGATAGATTTGGACCAAACCTGAATGGCACCTCATGCGACTCATGGTCTAAACTACCAGGAAAACAGACCCATCTCTAATTTAAAATTGGTAATCAAAGGAAAGGCGACCAGTAAGCAGCACCCACTGTCTACACAGATATTCTTAACCGAATAGCAGGATTGACTGTCACGGTTATAACGCCTCCACAGTTGAGAATGCAGATCGTATCCAGCGATATATCACGACTATAACCTTGGAGGCGCTAATCACTGGAACACATCCGGCCACTACGAATGAGGAACACTACTATAATGCAACCAACATGAATAGAAAATATCTGAGATTTGTAAAAACTTTCGTGGTACGACTTTGATTTTCATCTCTTTAGCACCACACTTTAATACGACATATATATATATGTATACAAGGACATTTCACTTTTCTTTTAAATATACCAAAGGTTGATGAGTCCAATAGTTAGCCATCATATTAAAAAAAATTCAATTTATCTTTTTGATACTTCAAGGTGCAAAACTTTATATAGATGTCGCTTTGAGACATTAATACAGAGCCAAATGAAAATAACAAAAATAACACATTCAACACTTACCTCACAATCTGTGATGTTGATGTTGCTCAAGGGCAAGGCATAAATTTTGTCCCTGAAACGAAAAAGTTAAATCTAGTGGTGCACATTTTGAAATCAACAACTCATTGTTACAACAAGAAGTACTCATAATTTTCTTTTTCATATACATAATTCAGAATTCTAAAAACACACAAAATTTTTACGAATCAATCTGTGTAGTCTAAATTGTAGATTTCATATCATCAACTTAGCTATAGAAACCTCAGGATTAAGTATTTTCTAACTGGCTTATAACATTTCATCATCATTATCAACAACAACAACAAACAGAAGAAGAACTTCCCGGGAAATTACACACACATATATATATATATATATATATACAACAATGTCATGTTGTTAATACAACGTTAGACATAGATGATGGAGTGTAGAAGGCTGGGTGCTATAAAGGAATACGTTTAATTTTTTCCCTACTCCGGCCAACTCTCCACCTGTCTCTTGATTACAGTTACTGCCAGTTTTAGCCAAGAGCGTCATTTCACAAAACGTTGGGTGGTGGTGGGAGGGGGATGGGCTAGTTTTGTCTCTCTCCCCTCCGAATTCGACTGGAAGCCTACAGTACGACGTAATTTCATATATCCTTGGGAGCGCCCCCATCGCCTGGTTTACTTTCAGCTACTTATGTATTTCTTTTACGGCAATGTCTGGAACTTAAAAAAATACAATATAAGAAAAATTTTGTGATCCCAAGTCGAGAATATGCGTAGAGACAGCGAATGGATCGATGTATCTTACTCAAGCGCTTTCAAGTGTTTGATATCATATACATTTTTCCTGAAGGAATATAATACTGAATTGAAGAAATTCATTTTCTAATATATTCCGTGTTAGGTCTAGAGTTGAAAACTGGTTTAGATTTTGATTTATATACAAATATATACAGATGTTGAACACGTAACATTTTTAGCAACTTGTCTAAGAAGGGTTGATCAATAAAAGGATGAATAACACAGTATAAAACCGGAAGCTTAACAATCAGACGATGAAAAATCGAACTTATTACCTTTTCTAACGAGAAAATCGAACGCGTTAAAATTCTCCTTCTTTCCAACTTTTCAAAATTCGTATAGATAGGACATAAATTAAACGAGCCCAAATACTTTGTTGATAGTATAGCGCATACGCGTATAGACGGAACTAAAACTCTGACTATATTTGTTACGAAAACGTTTTTTTTTTTTCTATGTGAAGTGAAAATCTTCTGTAGCTTTATGAAGAGGTAAAACAGAGAAGCAGATAGTTAGCTCTATGAAGAGTTAAAACAGAGATGCAGATAGTATTACTAGAGCGAATGTCCAAATGTCATTGTTTATTCAGTTTGAGCTTCTTAAGAAAGTTTGAAAATTCAATAAGACTGTGTACTCTCCTCAACAATATTGGTATTGTTAGTTCATTGAAGTTGTGACTTTACTTCTAGGTTCCGACATAATATACAATCTTATAAATGGCTAGATGAAGTTTAAAACCATTTCTTGGACATGTGAACTCTAATATCATTCAAAGATTACACAGATGGTTGTTAAAATGATTTTGGAGCCTTATCACTTCGTTACAATCCATGTCGCCATATCCGATCATGCTGTATCTGACGACCGTGCATTCTAACAGTACCTCTGGAGCGTAGTATCCATAATAACAGTCTACCTCGTAAGGCTGTCATGTCTAAAGCAAAAAAATCTCCATTCTGACTTTCTATAGTCCATCTAATGGATGAGGATGGCGGTTTCGCAGCCCCCGTTTTAACACTCTGATTTCAAAAGAAATCTATGTGCTGCATCTGGCGACTTGGCCGGTATGTCTTCGTATAGAATGTCATGAATATATGCTTCATTCTTCAGTTTCTTTAATTATACAACTGTTGAACGGAAGCTTTATGTTGGTGAACCCATATCCTGTTGACTTCGTTTCCAGATGGAGATTCTTCTTGATTATGTTACATACTGTTGCCTGGGTCACGTGGACGGCTTTTGCCACTGACTTCCCATTTTTTGGTGACGTCACATTACCTACGGATCACGAAACAACGTCAAAACGTATTTCTTGTCCACTCCATTCGAAAGCGACTTTATATCGGTTGCGGCTGTCACGTGACTTGCTAATTTTAATATAATGTAACCAACCCAGTATTCATGTCAGAATATTGTCTCTTTTACCAATTCCTTGTTCTATTCAGTTCTTCCAGTTTCTCTCCAAAACAATATAAAAACTACTAACAAACAGAACTTATAATGGGACATTTATATTTCCAGTAAATATCAAATAATTAATGAAGAAGTGTATTTCTCTAGTTTCAGTTTCTTGGAAAACTTATAGGTATTCCCTTACGTGTCAGATTGTTGGAACATTTCCTAACTTGTCAATGTTTAGTAACGTGACAAATTGTTGGAACATTCACAGCATGTTTCTTCACGTGATATAGTGTTGAAACATTTATATATAGTGCATTTCCTAACTTGTCAATGTTTAGTAACGTGACAAATTGTTGGAACATTCACAGCGTGTTTCCTCACGTGATATAGTTTTGAAACATTTCCACATTTTCTGATGTGCCACTTCATTAAAACATTTATATATATTTCCTTATGTGATATTTCGCTTAAAATCTATGAATTGTGTCAATCTTCTCGAATATTTATTTTCCTAGTTTTCTCACGTAACAGGTTGTTGAAATACTCATATTCTTACGATAGGTTGAAGTTTAACGGAACATACATGTTACATTTTCTCACGCGTTGGGTATCTGTAGTGTCTATGTTTGAACATCCTCACGTGTAAGTTAGCTGTAGATAGTATGCATGAACTTAATATTATGTACTGAAACATTTACATATTGTACTTTCTCAAGAGTCTGTTGGGGAATTCATGCAGCGTTTCCTTATTTGTCCATCACTACTAATTGTGTAACTATTGGTGCGAAAGGTTGGGCGTAGTATATATATATATACATGCATATACATATATATATAGAGAGAGTTAAATGTTCCATTGTGTATTAGTTCTTTGATAGATATCAATAAATACTCTTCATTTTTTTATCATCTTTATGAACTTTCTACTGAACAAATGATTCAGGATGGGCACTTGTAATCCGATGTCTATACCCCATCACCACCCTCAGCCATTAAAACGTATCAACAAACATGATAGAGATTCAGCTTGTAGCCTATTGTGGTACGTAACATCCTGTTTACTTTCGCTTTTCTAAACTTCCCTGTTGTTTGTTTCACGCACTTCGGGCAGGATACCATGTGTATCTCCTTGTGTGATACCATGTATAATTCCTGACTTCCTATATTTTTGCTTTTGTTATTATTATATTAACATTCTATCATTTGCCCCTGATAACTCGGCGTCAAGCTTGACGGCTTAAACGGCTAAAATGCGGGCTTCGATTCCTGCGGTGAACACAAGACAACCCATTCTGCAGCTATTGGCCTAAAAACCAACAAACAATTAATTAGTACATCCAGTATTTATCATATTTTGATGCGTTAAAAAAATATTCTATTTACTTCAGCTATTAACGTTTGTTGATTATTTTTCAGAAACTGTATTATGTTGGATCTAGGAGCAAGTAAGAATATAACAATTTTTATATTTCTTTGTTTGTTGTAAAGAGCAAAACCACCCAATGGGTTATCTGTGATTTGCCCACAGCGAGTATCGAAACCCGATTTTTAGCGTTATAAGTCCTCTGATTTACCGGTGAACAGCCGAGAGACGGGTAATTTTTATCTACCATCAAGCATTGTTTTACGATACGTTTTCTACTAAACTAATTCTATAATATACAATTGAATGTCAAGTATCTTTCTTAACAATTCTCGTTTTCACTTTTTTTACAGTTCCTGATTTTGTCTACCTCACGTTCTAGTTTCTAATTGTTCTTCCTTTAACAAAGCTAGTTTCATTGGTGATCATAACCTAGAAAGTAAAACATGGCAAAGTATTATAGTGACTTATTAACATTTTACTCATCAAAGTATATACAGCTTGAGGTCGTTTCTAACCGACATCCAATCTTAGGCTTACATCAAGATAATACAGAGAAATACGGACCAATACACTGATCTGATGTTACATGTGGTCCTGTTATTTCTTAACTTTAAAACTTTTTCATTAATTTACTTTTTATTACTTCGAACCACAGAATCGATTAATTAAAAAGGGCGCTTAGCTCACCAGCCTCAAATGACGAAAAATGTGATCTTGAAAACAGCAAGTTGTAACAGAAATCAAAATTCATTCTCGAAGCGATCTTTACAAGCAAAAGTAAACACAAAATTTAGTAAGGAAAGGAGTTTCTCATTTTGCCAAATTTACAATTTCCATTTTCGGAAAGTGTTTCGGCTTTTACTTGTTTGAGTTCATGATTATGTCTGCTAAATGTATGTACGTATAGCTTTGTAAGTTTGAGCACATTGAGTTTCCATGACCCCAAAACATTATCAACTTATGAAAATAAGTCTTCTATATTCACCAACCACATTATAGATATTTCGTTGTTATACAACAAAGAATTTTTTTTTCTAAAGTTGTGTCTGGGAAAGGCCAAAATGTCCCAGGACCACACGCCTGGAAGTTGCAAACATAATTCTCTGAATTCGTACAGTACGCTTTTCTCATTTCAAGTACAGTTAAAGGTATATTGTTATACCATGCTTTCGGTCCTCCTAGGTGTGTGGTCTCGGTGTAGGGTAGTGAAGGGTGGATTTAAGTAACCAGAAGAAAAACAATAGGGTCACGAATGAAGTATCAGAGGCAATGAAGCCTGAATTTAAAATAAATAAGAAACGAGCCTCACGGTTAGTTTTTAACCAAAATATGTTATAGAGACGCCACCTTTAGTCTAGTTCTCTATTTATTTAACAATAGGTGCTGTAAACCCAAGTAGGATTTAATAGCCTGCTAGTTAAAGCAGATTCGAACTAATTTCAAAACGTTCCTGTTGGTCCCAGACGCGTTCCAGTAGCGTATAACATGTTCCTAATGTTGTACCTTTCTTGACAG